ATCGATTCCCAAAAATGATTAAAAATTGAAATTTTCTTTTTGGGGTGCTGATTTTTGGACAAGGTCGGACCCATTTTTGTACCTTGACAGTGGCCGCGTTGTGGAAACGCTATTTGGTCCTAGTGGGGAGGGTTTCGGTGTGGCAGGTCGGTTGTGTCGTGCTGAGCGTCGTCCGTTCTGCCTGGGATACTCGACGATCGTCTTCGTGGCCGACTAGCTTCCCTCAACGCGCGAAGGACCGTCGATTGTGGACGTCCCCGTCAAGAGTTCTGCATCGGCCGCCATTGCATCTCTCTCTCTCTCTCTCTCTCTCTCTCTCTCTCTCTCTCTCTCTCTCGCGCGCGCGCGCGCGCACGCTCGCTCGCTTTGACCTTCGTGCCCTCCATGGTTAATCCGTTGACAATAGGCAAGGGAAGTCCTCGTTCGTCGTGATATCGTGGTGAGTCTTTTGTTCTCTCTCCCTCTCTCTCTCTCTCTCTCCCATGCGCATGTGCTCGAGCAGTATAACAATGAGCCTAGTGTAGAAAAGGGGAATAAGTCTTCCCGAGTTTTCGATCGTCTTCGCGGCCGACTAGCTTCCCTCAACGCGCGAAGGACCGTCGATTGTGGACGTCCCCGTCAAGAGTTCTGCATCGACCGCCATTGCATCTCTCTCTCTCTCTCTCTCTCTCTCTGTCTCTCTGTCTCTCTCTCTCTCTCTCTCTCTCTCTCTCTCTCTCTCTCTCTCGCTTGCTTGCTTTGGCCTTCGTGCCCTCCATGCTTAATCCGTTGACAATAGGCGAGGGAAGTCCTCGTTCGTCGGGATATCACGACGAGGCTTTTGTTCTCTCTCTCTCTCTCTCTCTCTCTCTCTCTCTCTCTCTCTCTCTCTCTCTCTCTCTCTCTCTCTCTCATGCGTGTGCACGCGAGCAATATAACAATGAGTCTGCCGTCGAAAAGGGGAATCAGTCATCCCGAGTTTTCTCTTTGTCCCACACGCGGCCGAGACATGACTCGCAAGTGTAACAATTGGTTGAATGTTCCTGCTTTTGGCGGGAAGATTCATTCCTCTTTACCACTTTCGAATCTCTCTCTCTCTCTCTCTCCCCCCCCCCTCCCTCCCCCCTCTCTCTCTCTCTCTCTCCCCTCGTGTACATCGTTTGCATAGAGTCTAGTCTCCCCCAAAAAATAAAAAGAGATAGGGAGACGGGTTGGGTGCCGAAGGCTAGGAAAGCCTCCCGGCTTTTTTTTTTTTTTTTCTTTAGGTCGTGTGTGTTCGTGCGTGTCTATACACTAAAAAAAATCATGACTGTGTCAGACTGTTTTGTCAGTTTTTCATCGACTCATCATGAGGTTGAACCCGAATAGTCTGCCTAGGATTCATTTTACTGTTGGATAACGACTCACCACATCGCCCAAAGTTAGCGACACTCGTGAGAGAAATGGTCAACTTTACTCGCACCAACCTTGCAATCCTAACAGATTGCCGGTCCAAACCCTTGACAAGAACTGTAATAAGTTTGAGGAACTAATCTGACACAGTCATAAAACCCACTCTACACACCCACTCAGCCATGGACACCCAATGGCATGATTGCTAGTACGGTCCCGATCCTAGCCGCATCGTGTGTGTGTGTGTGTGTGTGTGTGTGTGTGTGTGTGTTCATGTGTGTGTATGTGTGTGTGTGTGTGTGTGTGTGTTCATGGGTGTTCATGTGTGTTCATGTGTGTGTGTGTGTGTGTGTGTGTGTGTGTGTGAGAGAGAGAGAGAGAGAGAGAGAGAGAGANTCTCTCTCTCTGTGTGTGTGTGTGTGTGTGTGTTCAATCAATAATCATTCAACCAATCTAATCAACCAATCAATCAATCAATCAATCAATCAATCTATCTGGCAATCAATCAATCCAATCAATCTATTGATTGACTGATTGACTGATTGATTGATTGATTGATTGAATTGTCTTGGTGTGTGTGCGTGTGAGTTCATGTGTGTGTGTGTGTGTGTGTGTGTGTGTGTGTCAGAGATAGATTGTGTGTGTGTGTGTGTGTGTGTGTGTGTGTGTGAGAGAGAGAGAGAGAGAGAGAGAGAGAGAGAGAGAGAGAGAGAGAGAGAGAGTATCGTTGGATGTTGTGTGTGTGTGTTTTCATATTTGCTACAAACTCAAACAAGAATGAGTGTGGCAGACTGTTTGGCTGGATTGTCATTGGCTCATCATGAGGTTGAACCCCGACAATTTGTCAAGGATACATTTGATTGATGGATAAGGAGTTTCCACATTGTCAAGAGTTAGGCCGTGTGTGTGTGTGTGTGTGTGTGTGTGTGTGTGTGTGTGTGTGTGTGTGTGTGTTTTCATATTTGCTATACACTTGAACAAGAATGACTGTGGCAGACTGTTTGGCCGGACTGTCACCGGCTCATCAGGAGGTTGAACCCCGACAATTTGACCAGAATACGTTTGACTGATGGATCACCCAGAGTTAGGTTGTGTGTGTGTGTGTGTGTGTGTGTGTGTGTGTGTGAGAGAGAGAGAGAGAGAGAGATTGTGTGTGTGTGTGTGAGAGAGAGAGGTTATGTGTGTGTGAGAGAGAGAGATTGTGTGTGTGTGTCTGTGTTCGTTCGATGTTGTGTGTGTGTGTCTGTGTTCGTTCGATGTTGTGTGTGTGTGTGCGTGTTTTCATATTCGCTATACACTCGAACAAGCATGATTGTGGCAGACTGTTTGGTCGGAGTGTATCAATCCATCATTCAATCGATCAATCAAACTCGCGGCATATCAAACCAACCATAAAATCAATCAATCAACCGTTCACTCAATCAATCGATCAATGAGTCGATCAACGAGTCGATCAATCGATGAATCATTTGATCGTCCACACAATCTATGAATGAATGAATCAATCAATCAAACATTCAATCAATCAATCATTCCATCAATCAATCATTCTATCAATCAATCATTCTCTCAATCAGTCAATCGACCGACCACTCCACAGCCCGCTGCACATCTAAACAACCAACCATCTATCAATCCATCGAAAATAGAAAGAAAAAAAGAAAAAAGGCAAAAAAATGTGTTTTCCGGTACAATTCCTCACATAACAATTTCGTTTCGTGACATTTATCTTGGCAGTCTGAAATAAAAACCTCGTTTCTTATCCTCTTCTCCCTCTCTGCCTATAGTTTACCAGGCAGCTCTGATTCGGTAGGAAGAGAGCGAGAAGGCAACAAACGAGGGGCTGTGACAAACTGTTATATAGATAGATATATACATCGTCAAACAAAGCTGGCTGGTAAAATTGTAGTCAAATAGGGAGAAGAGGACAACAAATGAGGGGCTTTGACAAACTGTTTCGTCGGAGTTTATATATCTGTTTGTGACGATATATATATATGTGTGTGTTGTCCTCTTCTCCCTTTTTGCCTATGATTTATTGGACAACTTTGTTTGACTATATATATATATATTTTTGTGACGATATATATATAAATATATATGCATATGGGACTTGTCACCTTTGAATTTATATGTTTGTTTCCCCCTATTTTGTTATATTTGGTTGTTCCCTTCCTCTTTTCTTTGCCTCTTTGCCTTTTGGCTGTGTGCAAGTGGGTCGATATGACAAACAAGGGTGCGGGCAGCCGCCACTCAACCTACATCCACGTTGCCGGCCTTGTACGCAAGAGGTTTTGAATAGAGGGAAGATAAAAAATGAATTGGATTTTTTTTTTTTTTTTTTTGCTTTTACGTTCTGATATCCTTGTGACGGTATATATATAAGAAGCGGGCCTCTGTTGTGGTTCCGTTTCTTTTACATTGGATTGTTGTGTTCGTATCGTTGCCCTTTTTTTTGTTATCGTCGGTCACCACTGGAAAGAAGAAGAAGAACAAGAAAACTAAGAAAAGGATGATGAAGACGAAGAAAACAAAGAAGAGAAAATAGAGGAAAGGAAGGAGGAGGAGGAGGAGGAGAAAAGAAGGGTTCGTATTACTGCCCGCTTTTCTCTTATCGTCTGGCACCATTGGAAAGTCGGGTCTAATCAGGCGTGTCCGCACTGGTCTGCGCATGGTTGACGAATGATGTTGACGTGCCAAAGCACGTTGTCGGTGAGACAAAGAACCGGACAAATTAGTATCAACACAATGTCGAGCGGGGGTAGAAGAAGAAGAAGAATAAGAACAAGAAAACAAAGAAATGGATGATGAAGAAAAAAAAGCAGTAGCAGAAGAAGCAGAAGAAGAAAATGAAGAAAGCAAAGAAGAAGAATAAGAAAGACCGTGTAGAAGAAGGGGAAGAAGAAGAAGAAAAAAGAGAAAAAGATGAAAAAAAGAACAAATTGCTGAAGAACAGAAAAACAGATGGGGTGTGTCATTTGCTTTGTTTGACTGATAGGCCTTCATCTTCCTTTGTCCTTTCTTTGACTAAATCCTATTCTCTTTCTTTCGACTCTGTGAGGTTTGGTTTCCTCTTCTTTACCTCTTTGCCTTTTGGCTGCGTGCAAGTGGGTCCTTGGGACACACGGGGACGGGGGCAGTCGACGCTCCCTGTCATCCACGTGGCCGACCTTGTACGTAAGAGGTGATGAATAGGCGGAGCTTATCTTCTTTCCTTTTTTGTTTTGTCTTTTTTTGTCTTTGCGCTCCAATACACGGTGTGACAATATATATCTGAAACTGGATTGTCATTTGAACTCAAAATGGGTTACGTATGCGCTTTGATATTCTTGTGGAAGAGGGGTAACGAATGGAGACAAAACCAGGGGAGGTAGGAGTGGTGAAGAGAGGGGTTGTAGAGTAGTCGGAAGGGGGTTAACAAACGGCGATAAAACCAGGGGAAATGAAGGCGGTGAAGACGGGGGGGATGAAATCAGGGGTGGTGAAGTGGCTGAAGCAGAGACAGGGGGAGTAATCATAGGTGAGACCCGAAGAGGGGACTTTGCAGGTGGTAATGCAGGCATGGCCACGGATGCCATGGAGGACACCGAGACCAAGGGAGACACAACAGCTGGTTCCGTAGCATGCTTCGATGGTCTATTCATCACGCGCTTTCTCGGGATCCACACACTGTCCTCAGACTACGCCTGTCGCAGCCCCTTCTTCATCATCGGCGTTTGTCACACCTATCACGGCCTCTTTTTCATTACCTGCATCTGCCGCGCCTGCGTCCTCATCAATCTTAGTAACCCCTTCCATGTCGTTTGTGACCCTTGCTGGCCCTTTTCGGTTCGCAGCCTCTTCCTTATTGGCCTTGGTTGCTTCTACGATTGATTCCACGGGAGCAACTTGACCTGCAACTGTTGTGTCGCCCCTGGTCCCGGTGTGTTCCTCCATGGCATCCGTGGCCACCACAGCTGTTGTGTCACCCTTGGTCTCGGTGTGTTCCTCCATGGCATCTGTGACCATCGCAGCTGTTGTGTCGCCTTTGGTCTCGATGCGTTCCTCCATGGCATCCGTGACCATGCCTGCATTACCACCTGCAGAGTCCCCTCTTAGGGTCTCACCTACGATTGCCCCCCTTGTCTTTGCTTCAGCCACTTCACCACCGTTGACTTCGACCCCCCCGTCTTCACCGCCTTTATTTCCCATGGTTTTATCGTCGTTTGTTACCCACCTTCCGACTACTCTACCACCCTTGTCTTCACTACTCCTACCTCCCCTGGTTTTGTCTCCATCCGTTACCCCTCTTCCTAATCCACGAACCACTTCGTCCACACAGACTCCGTCATCATGTTCTGCCCCTGCAGAAAGCTTACGTTGTCGTCCTAGACGTTGACTTTGACCTATTGCCCAACCTCAGCTTACTCCCTTTTCCTCATCTTTGTTCTTGGACGAAGAAGATCCCGTTCTCCCCACCACGGCCCTCCCAAACATCCCGTCCCCGTTTTTTGCCGCCCCAAGCATCCTTACCACGCCTGCAACGCTCTTCGACTACAGACCTTTCTACAACACGGCAAACACTAAAGAGGAGGGATGATGGCGAGGGACCATCCGAGGATGGACTTGGCAAGGGGACTGTAGGAGATTCTAGAGAAAATCCATCTCACCGGCCTCCACCGAATCTGTGTGGCCCCGCTGCTACTAACATATGCCTACAAGCCTATCGTCAAGAAACCATATGCTCACTTTGATTTCTTGGCCATTGCTTTCGATCTTGATGCTCAGGAACGTGAGTTATATGGCGATAACCTGACTCTGCATCCCCCACAGGATAGTAATTGCACTCGACATGGCGGATTCAGTGTCTTTGTTCTGGAGACTGCTTTGATAACGCGCCAACTTGATATGCAGTGTGCCCCTTCGGGTGGCGACCCGGACCACTGTTCGCACGTTTGTGCTTATATTCTACATGCTCCTGGCCACTACATCGCTATAGAAAGTTTGTCTGACCGGCCTCCACCGAATTTATGTGGCCTCGCTGTTACTAACATATGCCTACAAGCCTATTGTCGGGAACCATATACTCACTCTGATTTCTTGGCCATTTCTTCCGATCTTGATGCTAAGGAACGTGCGTTATATGGCGATAACCCGACTCTGCATCCCCCACAGGATAGTAATTACACTCGACATGGGGGATTTAATGTCGTTGTTTTGGAGACTGCTTTGATAAGGCGTGGACTTGATATGCAGCGTGCCCCTTTGGGTGGCGACCCGGAGCACCATTGGCACGTTTGTGCCTATATTCTACATGCTCCTGGCCACTTCATTGCTCTTGTTCGTGCCTTTGGTTTTGGGGAATTATGGAATGGCGGTGCTATGGTGCAAATTATTACCGCCATCTGTGATCTCGTGAGTAATTACCCTGACCTGCAACTGTTCCAGGTCATTGACCCTATGGGTACCTCGTGTACTTCCATGCCCGCCTCTACGCCTATCTTTGTGCCTGCCTCCGTACCTGTCTTTGTGCCTGTTTCGTGTCTGTCTCCTTCCAGATTACTGACTCTATGGGTACCACGTGTACTTACGTCCTCGCCTTTGCACCTGTCTTTGTGCCTGCCTCCACAACTGTCTCCATGCCCGTTTCTGTGTCTGTCTTCGTGCCTACCTCCATGTCTGTCACCATGCCTGCTTTAGTCTTTATTCCCCCACATGCTACACTAACATGTTGTGACCTCCTTTGTGAGATAACTGACATAGTTACACTTGGTTGTGGAAGGCATCGAAAACACTGAAAGAAATAATAATACTGGGAAACAAAGAATAAGAGGACACTGTTTTGTGTCATTCTGGTTTGTTTGTCTCTTTGCCTGTCTGTCCTTTCATTTTTCTTTTCTTCGCTCATCTTATTTCTTCTTCTACTTCACGTGCTTA